TATGTGGTATTGTTAATAATATTTTATACATTCCATTAATGTTCTTGTATTCACCAACTTCATTGTACATTACTTTCATCATTGTGATATTATTTTCCCTCTTTATCTTTGTCAAAATAAATATAATATTATAGGTATTATCATAATTGTCTTATTTGTTTGTTTATCTGTTGTAATATGAGAATTGAAATAACAATAAATTTACATTCTGAGAAGGAGTGGATAAATTGGCCATGCTACCCCTCCAAAATAGCTATTTATACAGAATAGAATGTAGAAAAAAAAATCATGTAATGAAAATATATAGAGCGTAATGAAATATACGTATACACAGTTGGATGTAAAAGTGTCTTTATTTTTTTCATTTTTAAAATATATTGTCATTAGAATAAGTATATATGTAGGTTTCACATATGAAAGTCTCGCATGCAATTTAAAGTGTGTTGCTAACTTGTGGAAACTGGTATTTACATTAAAGATAAGTGCTGAGTTGATATTTTCAATATGGACGTTTCCTTTATACTCCACCCCTTGGATATTGTTGCCAAGGTCCCACAAAACACCAGCGTAAACAGTGTGTTTACAAAACGTTTGAGGATGAAGTCCGAAATCTTAGCCCTGTAACTGGTTGGTTGTAAAGTTTGATTGCACGCCAGAAAGGTTTTGTTTATGTATAAGCAGGAAGTTCCTGATATACAGTAAGCAAGTTGTTACTCTATATATTGAAAAAATAGAATGAAAAAATAAATAGTAACTATTTTTCCAAATAACAGGTGCAAGATGATAATTATGTTAGTTAATAACTGATATGAAAATTTCAAAGGAGCAATGCAATTCAATGTTTAAGGTATTAAACTGAATGTTTAATTATGTGTTACTTTATTGTGTACAATGTATTGAGGGTGGTGGTCAAGAGTGGGCGGGTCCACATATATAATTCTTAGACCAGTAGACACAAATAAATTTTCCGAGATCAGCGTAAAAACTCCTTGTGTCAATGGGCGTAGGTACACCCCAATGGGTGCCGCTAGGTCCGCGTAGTAATTTCAATCTATTGCATTTCCTTGTGTGGATATACAACATTGCCCCTTTTCTTGTTGCGGATTGAAATTACCTTGCTCTGTGCACCGATAACTCCTTGGGAATTCTTTTTCCCGCCTGTCATCCCTTCCTCCTCCAATAGACTAGGGCGCTACGGCACCCTGCTGCTTGGTTTGTTGGCCACTTTTTAAAGAATTTTTACTATGGAAATTAATTTAAAGCCCCATTCCCAGCAAAAATTTCACTAAAAACTGATTTTTTTTTTTTTAATAATAGAAAATATGCATTTGCATTACTCCAATTATTATAAATATTAGTTTTATGCAAAAGAATAAAAAAAATGAGAAATACAGACTATTTCTCATAGAATATTACCATTTTCTCGACGAAGTCATCGTTACCAGGCAAAGGTTGTAGATCGCATCCACTGGAATACTCTCGCTTTTATGTATACTTAATACAGTCAATAAAGTGCGCCCTCTCTAATGAGATTAGTTTTTGTACTTCGAATCTCGCACAATGCAGTCGTTCGATTAAGGCTGAGATATGTTTAAGTGTCAAAATCTCAGTCAGAATCAGTTTTTTAACAAATTTGAAATAATTCATTTGAAATATTATATTTCACAAGTGTCATTACTAGCAATGGAAAATATCATGTCGGCCGTTTTTATGTGTGATAACAGAACCTAAATCGAGGTAACCAGCGTTGGATAGGCGAATGTTTTTCGGCGCCTACGATATTTCTTCTCACGACCTATCGCAAAATCAAAAAATTCATCCGCATTTATTTTTTGTGTGGAACACAAAAATATCAAATTTCAGTCTTATTTCACATTTTTTTCATTCTTAGGAATGTCTATGTCAATTCCGTATTATATTTATAAATCTTTATAACATTATACAAAAATTAGATTTTTTCTTAACAACTGAAATTTTGTCGGGAATGGGGCTTTAAGGGACCGATCGTGTGCGACGCTCCCTTTGCCTTGTGTCGTAATAAATCACAACAGAATCACACTATATCAGGTTTTGTGTTATTTTATTGTGTACAATGTATTGAGGGTAGAGGTCAAGAGTGGGCGGGTCCACATATTTAATTCTTAGACCAGTAGACACAAATGTATAATTTATTAACCAGTTTCCAGCTTCAAATAATGAAAATTGCGTATTTTAGTCATCTTTTTCTTCTCCTGGAACAACTAGTAGATACTTTTGCCAGAAGAAATTGAAGTTATCTGGAAAAAATAAATTCCAATTTTATTACACATTACTTTATATCATTCTAATGAAAATATGTATAATGCAGTCAAGAAGCAAACCTCATTATGAAATCGAATATATACACACTTAATTAAAAGTTAATTCCGCGTTATTCTGCTATAGAACAAGAAATTACAAATCTCAGAACTTGAAGACAAACAATTCTAGCTTTCGTCCACATATTGCTGCGTACTCAAATGCCAAATTACCGTTGTGCAGCGAAAACTACACGGTAACAGACGTGGAAATTTGGTGTGTTGGGAAAAGTATGGCTACCTGTACAGTATAAAGTATTATGTCCAATTAATGCCCCAGATAAAAGAAAGTAAGCAGCCTTTAATAAGTGTATGTAAAATTCAAATTCAATTCAAATTTAATTTCAGGAAAAATATAACAAAAACGTGAATATGCTGCCTTCCAAGGATTGCCAAAAAAGTTCAAAAACTATCAAGTGGCTCTCCTAACAGCGTCATTAAAAATTAAATAACATGCAATTATTTGTGAAACATTTTTTAAATAAGAAAAAAAAAATAAACAAATAAAAATACATGTAATAATAAAAAAAAAAATAAATAAAAAAAATTAAAAAAAATATAGTGTCGCTACTGTCTACTCGAGGTGGGAAAGTTGTAGACTTAATGAAAATCATCTCTGTCCTCTTGGTGTGAGTTTCCCAGTCTCCAATCTTTATAGAATTCATAGAGAAATTTATGTATTAGAGTGTTATAGAATTGTACTTGCCCATAGCGTCCTCGAACCACAATGGTTTGTTAGTCCATCGCACACCAAAATAATAGAGAGGAATTCCAGAAAGAGTTATTAATAGTCCGATACCGCAGTCTTTAGGTGATGAGTACAAAGAAACTGATACCATTACTAATGTACAGGCAACAAATATTATTGGAATGAGAAGATTCACCTGAAAGCAAACACATTTACTCCATAAGAACATTTGGCGTGTGGAAATCGGTGTGTAATATTTGACTACTCAATTTGAAAGAATAACCGTAGTAATGTTATAACATAATACTGTACATTCATTGGAAACTAAGAAGAAAACCAGACATTTACTGTACTGCCTTTAGTAGCTTTCAGTTACATTGTGGGTCCATTTAGATTAGTTCAGACCTTTATTCAAATGCATTGTACCGGAACATTTTAACTGTTGAGTGGACATTTGGTTTTGATGGAAATAAATAACCGTGTTGTTTAGTTGAAGCATGGACTTATTAATAAGATTTCACTCTCATATTGAACATGTGGCAGGCTGCTGATTTTAAATAACTTAGCTAGGTGTGTTTTAAAACATGTTATTATTGTATCCGATGGTAGCATACAATAAAATTGTTTTAACCTTAAATCAGTTTTATTGTATGTATTTCATTTTTCCTGGATTTTAAAATTCAGATAATGTTTGCTTATGTACTATTTTATCAGATTTACTAACTTTGAAAGGTCGTTCCCATTCGGGATGCTTCCATCTAAAGTAAGGAATTGTGGTGACTGTTAGTGATATGAACAACCATCGGGTAAAAAAAGTAGTTTATTAGGCTGTAGACACTATCACCGACCAGCAAGATAACAGTTATTGGTAGCTGAGGAAAATAAAATAGTTAAAAATCAGTTTTAAATCCAATAGCGGTTTTAATGGTTCAATATATCCAACTGATTTTTTTTTTAAATTTTTATTAAGACTACGGGTATTAGCGTACTGCATATAGGGCCTACATACACGTTTTGGTTGGATTTCTATTTTATAGCCGTCGATGCTAGTCAACGAGGCGGGTAGGTTTTTACTATATTTTTATTAGTGATTTGCGGTGTAGCATGTTTCTACGAATGAGTGAAAATATGGGGGAATAAATCATATGAGTCAGAAATGTCTCTTATTTTTATTT